TGCGGAGGCTGTAGTCGACCGCGGCGGTCGGAGGGGGTTTGGCCGGCGGGGGTGGAGGCGCGTTGTCGTCGTCTTACGGCCGTGTCTGCAATCGGGTGTATCGATGAAATCCGAGACGGCGGTCGGAGGCCAACCGGGTCCCGTTCGACACTCTTGCGCGCGGCGCACATTACACACGCGCGCGCGCGCGGGGAAGACGACGACGGCGGCGGCGGCGGAGGAGGCGCGGACGGACGGACGGACGGACGCCCGGGAGGCGGGAGAGGTGCCTGTATAATCTCCTACATAATAGTAATAATATTATTCGATTATAACCCCCCACGGGATCGTGTAAACGATAGGAACACAGTGTGTATTTTTTTTTTATTATTGTTTTTTTTCCCGTTCACCCTGTATACGTTGTGTGTAATTTTTTTTTTGGAAATTGATTTTGACGGCACCACGCGCATACAACACTATATAGATACCGCTATTATGTGTATAGTTTACGACCGCGCGCCACACTACAATATTTATTGTATACACGCACAATTGAGTCTCCCGTTTCGCGCCACGCGGTTCTTTTTTTTTTGACAGTTTTTTTTGAGAAAAACATTTTTTTTTTTTTTTGCTCAACACTAGTAGAGAGATCCCATCTCGGTTCGTTTTTTACTACATACATACACACGCTAGATTGTACGTAAGTACGCATGAATTAAAAGGTCGGCTGGGTATACTCGCGGGGTATTATATTAGGTATTAATATGTTTTGTTAAAGAAATACGCTGGGGTATGGAAAAAAAAAGATACAAAAACGAGTTCTTGGTGAAATCGATAGTGAATTTTGTTCGATGAATTCTAGAAGGCAGGAGAAAACGACCTTATTTTTTTTTTAATAGTGCACATAATATGTGGCAACTGGCATGTACATTGTACATACTTCCTATATGATATATTATAACAACATGTTTGACAAATTTTTATGATGTTTAAATAATGAATTCACTTACTACCTACCTACTTGTAGTATTATATAATGTGTACTCTTTTATTAGGTATAAAAAAAAGAAATACTTCCAGCCGTATTTTTTATTTATAATAATAAATTTAAAATTTAATTTAATAGCTTAACGCGAGTTACACATAAATTAAATATTTCATTCTAAATGTTTTACTGCGAAGTCATGACGACAAAAAATATTGCGCCTCACCTCTGCATGTTTATACATAATTTATAAATTTATCATTTACAATTTATTTATTAACATTTTTCATTTATCATGTACAAGGTTTATAAATTAAATTAAAAAGTGTGTGGGCCCAACATTTGAAATATTTAGCTTTAATTGCTGATAAAAATAAAAGTTATGTAGTAGGTATAATAGTATAATATTATATTAGTATTAAGAATCATCTTATAAATAAATGAGCCGGGAGAGAAAGAGGCCTACATAAAATCTCAAAATAATCGTTTAAAAGATATTTTCAACTTGATTAGCGGTATTCTTCCAACACAACATGTACCTAATGTATACTTATAATACAACCACACACGGTCTTATAGGGACAAAGGGATGTGCTAAATCATTGGTTTATTTTACGTCAAAATAATAATTTGACAAAAATACTACGTTTCTACAACAACAACAATAATAATAATAATAACAATAAAAGAACCACCCTAGTAGAAAGTGTGTGTTGCCGACACCGCCACCACCTGCCCGGCATCCCAGGGACAAGGTGTAAAGTCAAAAGACTAACAAGCCCGACACGTAACCCACACAGGCTACATGACGGTACACACAAGTACACTGCACGCTGCACCGGTACACGGGTGGCGGTGGTGCATCGCCAGTCGGAGGCGGACGATTCATTGTGTGGCCACCGCTTACACATCGAGTTTAACATATTATGTGTATATAGGTGCGCTGCACGTTTGTGTGCAACGACGGTGTTTGTATGAGAGCGGCCGCGAGCGCGCCGCGGCGCGTTCAGAATGCCCATTATATCAAATTGCTTGTCAAAATAAACCGCGGCAGGCGCCTGCCGCCGTCCCCACAAAGGACACCATCACCGGCCCCCCCGCCCGGGCGGCTCGTTGGGCAGCCGCTCTTTTAGGGTCCCGGTCGTCGTCGTCGTCGCCGTCGTCGTCCGACGGATATGATATATACGCATCATACATGCGCATAATATTAAATATATTATTATTTTATTATGTATGATGTGTGTACTCGCTCATCGGGCAGATCATAATCTTGTGTGTATACACGTCCGCCACTGCCGCCGCTGCTCACCCCGCGGTGAGTGCGTTCATTATTATTATTATTATTATTTAAGACAATGCTTTTCGGAATGCAAGCCGTACCGAACAAAATGGCCGCTTGTCGGGTCGGCAATTGGGTATATTAGGCGTGGGCGGGGTGGTGGCGGGGGGCAGGGCAGAGGGAAATACCAACGCGCACCGTAACGCATTCACCAAGTCGACTGCGGTGGCGGCGGCGAATTCGGTTTTTCCCCTTCCCCGACGTTTCCGCCGTCTCCGTATTATTTTCATTCTCGTTTTCTATAATATTATATTATATTAATATAATATATGTAATAATACTGAGACCGCTCTCGTATTATATTGTACATAATATAATTGTACATATACCTACATAATGTAATATATATATCGCCGCGTGTACCTATATATATATATAATACATAATATTATATATATATATATATATACAGCCCCGTCCGTTGCGCTCGCGCCCAACGCTGCGGCGAGGCGGACACGACATTCTTCGTTTTCTCTCTGCCGCTTTTGACCTCGCCGCCGCCGCAGTACCAACACCACATACACGTTTCGCCGGCGGTGATCACCTGGCCCCGCCCAACGGTGCCACCTCGGCACCCCCGTGCAGCGCCGGTGTCTCATCTTTTGTTTTCCGCGTCTGTGCCGTGTGTTGTTTCGCCGCGCCGCCCGGCGATGGCAGCGACGTCGGCGGCCGGCGCATCGGGTCAGCTACATCGCTATGGGTGCAAGCGGGAACCGTTGGGAGCGGGCGCGCGGAAAACGCGTTCGGGCGAAAATCCGACTGCGCTTGTCGCGCGTTCGTGGCGGCGGTCGCGGCGCTTGGACCTAGCGGATGCCGGACGGTGAACCGCGGCTGCACTGTATGGGGGGCCCTTCGGTGCGATATCGATTTCGGGTTTTTGTGTGTTGTGCCGCCGCGGTGTGCCTAAAATATTATATATTTGTACAGGATGAAACGGTCATTCCACATACCGGTGGTAGTCAGCATCTACGAGTCTAACTTAACCGTAGACTACGACGTGCCTATTTTAAATATATCGGAGTGGTTTTTTGAGCTATTTTCAGCGTTTCATTCAACAATTTAAATCTTATGTTGTGTATGAACTTTGATATTAATTGGGTACCTCATGGTGCTATCTCTTAAATACCTTCATGTGACTAGGTATTTCTATAGCCGTCGAACTGTAACCATGTATGTTATAACTAAAAATCAAGGTCAAATGCGTCACGTATGAACTATGGAGTATGAACTATGGTTGGTGGCTTCTTCTTTAAATTCAATATTCACCCCCATCATCTGGCCTCTCGTATTCATGTACTTACTACGTAGATTGAATATATTCCGAGTTTATTTTTCATGGTTTTTACTTTTAACCCACTTCTATGGATATTGTAAATGTAGTGTAATATTTGTTCATCTAGCAAGTAAAGATGTTTAATAATCTCTATAGGATTTTCGTAATTATATCAAAAGCTGTTTCTGTGAGATTTTTCAGTATAGTGGTATAGAGTGTGTAGACTGTGGACCTTTCAGATCTCTGTGATTTAAATTCGCAATATTTTCGATTGAAACACATGTATATTAATGTGATAAATATGCATAATAATAATACACAGTATACACCTATCATAATGTTTTAGTTATTCGTTATCGGACGACAGAAATCGATTAAAAAAATAACAATAATAATTAATAAGCAAATCTAACGTAAACAAAATCATTGTTCAAGCGTTAAAAAAATATACTTATTCATGACTTGTATGTTTTACGAATTTAGATCTGTAGTTGTTGGTGTACCACAAATCTTGTCTATGTGGTACATTTCGGTGTAGGAGAAAAAAATAATTATATTTAGCTTGTATAATAATATTATTATGAACGTATTTATAAACAATCACGCGGAGATTTCTCGGTAAACGGTTGCGAGCAAATAACGAGTGCAATTTTTCATGCGGCGCGCGGCTGGCCGCTGCTGCTGCCGGGCTAATTTGTCGTTAGTTATCTTAAATAACGATTCCTAGAACATCCGGACGTGTGTATAAGTTATATCGGCTGGCTGGCGCGCGCGCTTTATAATAACAGGCATAACCAGAATGCGATAGTCGTCCAATAACTAACTCGCGCGAGCATAATTCCGTTTAACTGGTATTGCCGGAAAGTAGCGACGAGTCGCCGTCATTAACGACGAAAAAAAACTAGTCGTCGGCGATTGTTACGCCGCGGTGTGAAAATGGTGTATAATATATTATAGGTATACTGTATAATGTACACGGTACTTAGTAAAAAAAAACCTGCCTCCACCTCACATTCTTGTGGGAAATTACGACACGCGGCGCTGCATTTTCGGCTGTAACATTATTATATTACTATAATGTGGCCGTTATTGTTTTTCTCATTGAATATTATATTTCGCGTTATTTCCTATGTTTAAACATGCAATCTGTACATTTATATGTCCAAGTGACGAGGAGACGTACACTTTTGACAATTTTGCATGATATTATTACACAGCAGCTGCTGCGGCATGGACATGACTTTAAAATCGAACTTTGAAAATCCATTTTTTAAGGATTTCGCCCAACTTTTGAGGGTTATATCACAATATAATATAATTGTAACATGTAGTAATAATGTAGTAATAATGTATGATATGTATAATATTGTAATGCACTAACTTGGTACGTCATTCTTATAATAAATATTTTGTTTCGTTTGTAGAGATGTAAAGAAAAGCTCAACACCTTAGCCATCAGCGTGATGAACTTATGGCCGAACGTTCGACTGCGAGTGATCGACGGTTGGGTGGACCGAGCCGGCAGCAGCTTGCACAACGAGGGACGGGCGGTAGACATCACCACGTCAGACAGGGATAAGTCCAAGTATGGCATGTTGGCCCGACTGGCAGTCGAAGCAGGATTTGATTGGGTCAACTACAATCGTCGGTACATTCACTGCTCTTGCAAATCAGGTGAGTCCAGGATCAAACTAAATAATATACGTATCCATAGGCTCCTATTACTTACGTTTTGTATTTTTTTTTAAATGCACTTCTACAATTTTAAAATTGTACATAACATATTTACTTCTATTTAAATGAGTAAACTTATATTATACCTAGGCTATCTCATATTCAAATTTGTTACATATACAGGTGTGTGAGGCTTAGGATGTCAGGTGTTAGTGTATGTATTAGAAATGTAATCGCTGTACAATATTTAGTATTTACATCTGAACTTGTCATAAGCATAATTTTCGAATTTCTAATCTACTCAAACATACGTTACAACTTAAAATTCGTTTTTACGTATAAATAAATCGCGTGCATTTCAACGGCCCAATTAATAGTATAGGTAATATAGCTAGCGTATAAATCGGCTGACTTTAGGTACCTAATATATTATAAAAATAAATTGCAAATTACCTATACAGTAGCATGTAGATTATCGTTTATTCGTTTCTTGCTAGCTACCTTTAGGCTATATAAAACATTAAAATTATAAATTCAGTAATTATATGGTATAAGTATATCGTATAATAACAATTAATATATGTAGGTATACTACAGATTTCATCGCTTCAGACTTCACATAATACTATCTACGTATGTTCTATATCCTACGTCATAATATTAATATTCAAATTTCAAAAGTTAACTAATATACTGTTTAGTGTTTACTGTGATATAGTGGTAGTGATTGTCATTTGTCACAAATACAAAAGAACATACATATTAAATTATGTTGCACTATAATACCTATGTAATATACTAATATGTATGAGGATAGGTGTAGTGTGTTGAATTCTTATGGGAGGGAGGAGCTTTAGCCTATAATGTTTTGGGTACCTACATAAATACATGACATATATTCTAAAAATGATAATTAAATAATGTAAGAAGGGGGCCTTAAAAAAATTTCGGAAGGCCTATAGCTCCATTAGCCCCCCCCCTTTCTATGCCTATAGATATGAGGCGTGAGAGTTGTGCTGTTGTCCAAATCGTGGGCTATCTTTTACAATGAATTACTTATAAAAAATTTAAAAAAATAATTATTAAAGTCTAAAACTTACATTTACCTTAAAATTAAACCAGGACTTGAAAAAAGCATGTTTTTTGTTACCAATAGGTTACAACCTTAAAATTAAGAAAAAAAATATTTTCAAAAACTTCAATATTTTTTTAGGTGATGAGTGTTCATTGTCAAAAAAATCACCAAGAAACTATTTATGTATTAAATGCATTTAATTCCATTTATTAATACTAATAATACTTAAATGTTATAGATGACATATTTTAGATATAATTAAAACGTTCAAATATGTAACGCGTTTTGAACGTTTTTTAAATATAATTAATCGATCTTTATTTTCAACTTCCGAGACTATATTGGTCTTTTGAACATTCATAACCGTCATTCGTACGGGAAAAAACACTCTAATATTATAATATAAGACACTGTATATATATGCGTGTGTGATGAGAAAAACATAATGTACATATTTGAAATAATCTTTTTTTTCCGTTCACTCGAAAAGTCGATATAAATAATATATACAAATAGGTATACAATATGAGTAGAGAGGTATCTCCGACGAGACTATATTACATTATGCAGTCATTTAGCCCGGGTGGTTTGTTTAGCCGAATTTCTAAACGAGCGTGTGAGAAAACCAAACGTCGTGTCGTAAACGCGGAACACGTATAATAATAATATATATATATATATATATGATGTATTGTAGTATATACATAAGTACATATTATATATAATATCGGTATGCGTATATGAGTGAGCTCGCGCCGGGTGACCGTGTGAACGACACAACTGCCGCGATGATGACGGCGGTGCACATACGTACCTATTATGCCTATATAAAATCCGTACAAACAAAAAATAAACCGGCCGCCGCGTCCGTCTGGCAAAGGGACTTTCCGGTAAAATCGTCTCGTTTAGGAGGTTCGAAAAGAGATAGAAAAATGTTTGCGCCGAGCAAACAGTAAATAAAACGTTTTGTGAGCGACGGCCGACGACTGTAGTATTATTTATGTATATAATACATTATTATATATATATACCTATGTACCTATATTATGTACACGAGCGTTCGTGTTAAAATATTCGGAAATTATTGTTTCCGACCGTACATCGTCACTGGTACCTGTATAGACATAATAATAATAATAATAATAATAATAAAAATAATAAAAATAATAATAATACCCATGTACGTATAATATACACACTCGTCTTAGTGGTCGATCGGTCAACAAGTCTCCCCCGTCCGTCCGTGTACGTCTCTCATCACGCGTTGCATTATTTTCCGTTGGTCCGACAAAAGGGCCGAGTATCGTTTTCACGCCGCAGCGGTGCGGACGGGTCTCATTAATTATCGCTTGCCGCGCGTACACCTCGGCTATCCATCATGCACATTGCACACGCACACTTGTCTCCGGCGGCGGCGGCGTGACGTCGACGAGACGACGAAAAAGAGGACGTCCGGTTCGCTGTGTTACATTATTATTATACATAATGTAGTATTCTCAATGTTAACGAAATCGCCAGAAACAAAAATATCGAGTGTATACCTGAAAATCATACCATACTATTATAGTAGTCCATATTAACATAATACCATTTGTATGTATAAACAAAGAGTGAAGGGAAATAAGGAGACATCATATACTATATAGTATAACATTAAATACCATGTGCTTTACGCATTGTACTCGTAAGCTTGGAGGTTGGGTAAATTTAAATTTAAAACTAAAAATGTGTATCCGTATATTTTACGAAAATTTTCGGAGGAGATTTTAAGTGTTAAGGGGGCCACTAGTCTTCTGCATTCTCCGAAACCGCTGACGTGGGTAAAGACAATTGGCAACGTATGCTTTTTATGTATAGCTTATAATATTGCATATGATTATAATAGTGTATATTTCGAAAAATGCATGTGATCGCGTTATTTTTCAACGTTTGTATAATGTATTTAGTTAAATACGTCGAAACATAGTAAATCATAACATTTGATTTGTTATTGGCACCGTTGTTTTAAAACGATATCGCATTTCTTAATTACAAGGTCGTGTTTAATAATGATGATGTCTGATAACGTGCGTACAAAAACTTATTTGCATATATGTATTTAAACACGATTTAAAAAAAAAATGGCTTATAATAGTTATAAAAACAATTAGTATACCTTCCTAAATAAAACGAGTACCTACTAAACGTGTTACGATACGTGGACGCATACTACGCGTATATAATATTAAACCTAAACTATTATAATATTATTTACGTGTAACTGTGCAAGCCCTGCAACGTGTCGGTAGTAAACGTTATCGCAAATCGCATAAAGCGGTTCCCGCACACGATTTGATTATTTTTAAATTAAAAAAATTAGTAATTGAATAACAAAGTGCCGATAATTATAATAAACGGCGTGGTTTCGCGAACCCAATTAAACAAGAAGCTAGTTTATTGTTGCCCATTGCGTTTTACATCATTTGCCTAACGGATCTGCTATAATTTAATCGGATATTCATTACATTTATAACCTCACAGAAAGTTATATATAAAAAACAATGCGGTGTACGTTCGTTAAGCCGTAGATACTTGGATTAAATAGGTAATTAAAATGTGCACATGATATTCATTTCACGAAATCCAACACGTTCTAAAACGATTGTTACAAAAAAAATATATTTCTTTAAATTGTATTTGAAAAATAAATATTCAAAATTCAAATAATCATTGGTGAACAAGAAAAAAAAAATTTTTATAGTTATATAAATAACTATAAAATGACTAATAACATTTATTTAATAATAATCTGTGACACTTTTGGTTACTAATATATAGTCTGGTAGCGTCACAACAAGTCATACTACAAATAAACAACCCTGTAAAAAGTATAATACATAAATATATGTTGTTTATTGTGCAAGTGTGGAACTTAATTTCTAATTTATGTGTTAGTATAAATTATATACACGTATATGCGCATATGATTATATACTCGTTTATAAGTAGGTACCTATATACTTGAAGATGCAATTATTTTTATAATTATATATTTATTAGCGTTTTACATGAGAACAATGACATAATAGTAGTAGCCACTCTCAATTTATAACAACAAACGCCGTCGAAAGGAGGAACCATCGAATTATTGTTATTAATGTAATGTTAAACAATAGGATGAGGAATTGAGGAACCTTCTATTATATTCAGTTTTAAAGTTCTTGACCAAGGAAAAATATTTAAAATATTGTAAAAATCTTAATTGCAAAATTCTTATCAATAGATAAAAGTTAGTTTAAATATTTTAAAATTGTTAGTGTTTAAATGGAAAAAAATAATTTAATAATAGTGGAATATGCCAAATGTTTACAATACTTTTAAAAATTATTTCAATATAATAAAAATAGTTTTTAACAAATAAAATAATAAGATATGATAATATTATATTATATATAATAATGTGTTATAAAAAAAATGATCTTATAACTTCTTAACAATCGTAATATGGTTTATCTAAAAACATGTTTTTTATATATAAATTTTATGAAACAAATTAATTTGTAAAACAATATATTAGTCAATTTTAGTCATAGGCGGTCCCAGGATTTTACTTCAGGTGCAGCCGTGCAGCATAGATGGTTAATTTCTAAATGTTAGGGGTATTGGGAAATGGGAATGTGTACGAAGTTAGATTTACTGAGTATCGATGAACCATAATTTACTTTAGACTATTACATATAATTTTTGAAACTAGTAAAATAGTAATTTCCTTTCCTCCGAACTTGGTTTTTCTTCATATTATGATAATTATAGATGTGATCGCGCGTGACTATAAATACCACCAGGTTAGGTTATTCTGTGATACCACTGTTAGCCTAGGGTCTTCCTCCCTTTAATTCTGGCTTGATCATCAGATCTACGAGCTAACAACTATCCAGTGTTAGGT